TACATATGCTCAGGTAATCATGTATAGATGAATAAACTGTAAAGCATAAAAATAAACACCCAAAGAAAAGACAACAAGAGCTAGGACCGACTACATGATGGACCAGCAATTGGCTGATCTGTCCCCAGTGAAGTCGCTATCTGAAACAATCGGCTGAAAATCATCGGACAATGAAGTCGCCATCGAACGTCTTTTATCCCACATGAAGGAATAGGTAAACATCGAGAAAACATGATAAGGGAGAAGTCACGGTCTTGCGACTAAGAAATCGGGTAAGGGAGTCTGTTACGCGAGGGGAAGGTATTAGTACCCCACACGCCCGTAGTACTCTACGGTATCTACTCTTGTTATCTATCTTATAGGTGTGTCTAATCTATGCTTACTGTTTGTTATGGAGGAAGAATACATGCAAAATAAATGATAAAATAATGTAGGGAAAATAAAGTTGTGCTCGCTTGGGCCCTACCCCAATGCCTACATATCCTTTTTGAGGAATCAGAGTTACCGTAGTTCGGCTCACATGTTTTTGTTTGTTTTTTGTTTTTTATGAACAATGTTAATTCCTCCTTCTACTGCAGCTCGACCTTTGGAGACTCATGTGTTGGCATAGAAGTAAATTAACATGTCCTTACCTGAAAAGGGTTTTGAGTTACGCCCTCAAGGCAAGATGCCACATTTGATTGGTTTGTGTTTTGTTTCCTTGAAAAGGGTTTAAGTATGATTAGCATGTTTTATGATTTGCTAAGAAAAAGAAAGTTTTAGTTTTAAATGCAAATGCAAGAAGGGAAGAAAAGAGTCTACGGGAAACTAGCCTATTTCTAATCCTAATGTTATCATACAATGGTAGGCCTACGTCAAGGATGAAAGGGAAATCTCTACCTAATGTTAGCACGCATGGTTCACAACCTAAGATCTAACTTTCATCTGAAAGGAACAAGCACATCCTAAGGAAACATGGTATAGAAAGAAAATAAGCAAACAAGCTCAAAAGAGAACACACATAAAATGGTAAGGAAAAGAAGCGAAATGCTTTAACCAAGGGAAGTGTATCACCCGAGGCAAACAAGCGGGAGTGAACAAAAATGTAATATCCAAAGCGACTGAACCCCTATCCAAGATATAGGAGATCGAGGTAGAAAATAGAAGATAATATAAATGATCACAGAGTGTCAACATCGGCCAATGCGAACTCCTGATAAAACATGGAGGTTCGATTGTAATATCCAAAGCGACTGTCACACGTGCGGAATACCTGCTTCAAAGACAGGGTTTTAAACAAACACAAATAACATACAAAAAGCACACAATACGGAATTGCCCTATATGGATCTTTAAATAAACTAGAAGGATTCTTGACATGATCAATAACAGAGATCCCCGTCATACATCTCTAGTCCTATTTCTCATGGAAAGGAAAGCTGTAAAGCCCTACTTCTCATGATATCTACAAAAACGGTAAAGAAATACGATAAAATGCGGAGAAATACAAAGGTAGTAGTGGCGACTACCAAAGCGAGCAAATCATCGAAAGCGGATGAAAGCAATGGAGAAGCAGGGAGTACGCGTCGAGCAAGCTTTACCAAGAAACAAACAAACTCAGAAATAATATCCAACTAAGATAAAAGCAATTGTGTGTTGCAAATACAATGCGTAATCAGAAGTTCCAGCACAAAGTATCACAAAATATCAATATGCATCTGGACAACATATAATATGATATGAATTTCTCAAGATGATGAGAAATAAGGCGTGTTACATCTTAAGCGAGCATAAGCTGTATGCTTCGATCAGATAACAACTTGTTATGTTACATGATCGAAAGCACCAAAAATGTACCTTGCACAATGAACAAATACGTCAAAAATAACGAGACACAACGGTATGAAAATATAAATAAAAAACTAAGAGAAAAAGTATTTTTTTTATTAGTTTTTTATGTGAAGAAAGTTCCATCAAAAACTAAAGAATTTATTCCTAAAATCAACTAAGAATTTTTAACAAATTTTGTTGATTTTATAATTCTTTCATAACAAAAATATAGAAAATTTAAAAGAAAGTCCTAAATTCTACATATCTTTTTTTGTTCATTTATCATTAAATTTCTGTTAATAAATTTTAAAAGAAAATTTAAACTAAAAGAAAAAAATAAAACAATTAGAAAGAGTCAGGGGGTGAAAACTGATTCAGGGGTGTAGCAGTAAGCAGCTCTAGGCACAAGGCCCAAACTGACTAAGTCCATTAACAAGCTTTTTATTTATGTATCAGGCTCCCACCAAAACCTGGTGAATTGGGCTTAGGGGAAGCAGATTTCGGTCCAACCCACATAACAACAATATCCATCAGCTATTTGTTAGACGATATGACATATCTAGAAGGGGGGTTGAATAGATACCGTGATTTTTAAAAATATTTTTTAATGAAAACTTAAAACACAGTGAAAGATACCCAGATACACTCGTCTAAAAACGGTCCTCTATTGAAAAGACCGGATATGCGTAAAATCGAATGGAATAAATCAATGAGAATTATTAACACATAATTAAATTATAATAGATCACTTATATTTTTTAACTGTAGTCAATTAATTCCAATGAAGTGTGTGTAAGTGATTTATTATGTGAGAAAATCTCTTTTGCATGTCTGCAATGGTTTCACCATGCTTCATGTGAAAGAGATCAAACTCTTGAGTTAATGTGTTAATCCTTGCTAATTTGACATCTTTCGTACCCTCATGGGTAACTTGTAAAGCATCCCACATTGCCTTAGCGGTAGCACAATGTGAGATACGAAAGTATTCATCAACTCTAAGAGCTGATATGAGCATATTTTTAGCTTTCCAAACATAAGCATAGTTTTTCTCATCTTTTTCATCCCATTGTGCTTCCGGTTTAGGCACAACGGAACCCGCATTGGTTAACATAGTTATGGCCATAAGACCTTCTTATATGACTTTCCAAATTTTTCTATCAACAGAATTGATATGCACGCGCATACAACCTTTGCAATAGCTATAGTTTTCACCGGTGAAAATAGGCGCTCTATTATACGCCCCTTTTGGATCGTCGTCCATTGTCTAAAGAGTTATATGTGAAGCACTAGATGAACTGGTGCTCTGATACCACTTGTTTGACAATAGGACGTATTTAGAAGGGGGATTGAATAGATACCGTGATTTTTTAAAAAGAGTTTTTAATGAAAACTTAAAACATGGTGAAAGCTACCCGGATACACTCGTCTAAAAATGATCCTCTATTGAAAAGACCGGATATGCGTAAAACTGAATGGAATTAATCAATGAGAATTATTAACACTTAACTCAATTATAATAGATTACTTATATTTTTTTAACCGTAGTCAATTACTCCCAATGAATTGTTGAGTATAGAACCCACAAATTTGCACTTTTGAACTTTTATCGAACACTTGGTGTGTGTAATCACACCAAGTCCAATCTGTCTTAATTTGTAGTGTTAAAACCAATTATAGCAATCAAAGTGATTAATATAGTTCTTAGAAATAGTTCTATCACACTACAAATCCATACACTTGGAACCACAAGTGAAAATTCACAAATTATAGCAAATAAACTGTAAAAGACGAGAAAGAAAAATGACACGCGATTTTTTAGGCAGTTCCCCCTGTCGTCCTCGCGTGGGGTACTTTGCCTCTAATTCTAAAATTTAGAATTAGGATAATTTCTATTATGATTGCAAAGTTTGTACAAGAGATAGAAAATAGTCACCACAATTCAAACCCAATATGTTGAATTGAAAACTAAGCTCCTTTATTCCCTTGATTCGATTTGAACCAAGTATGTCACTAATCTTTGATAAACCTCCGGTTGTAGCTACCTTGTTGAGAACCTAAACTATTTCTCAAACCCTCTTCTTGGCTGATTTGATCGCAAGATGGTGACCCCAATTCTTCCTTCACAATCCTCTGATTGTAGCTACCTTATCGAGCGAACCCACGGTTCCTCAATCCTTTAAGCACGGCTAAATTTGAAGCAAAGAAATGTCAAAAACCCCCCCAAATCCCAATGATCTTGGAGGACAAAACCCTCAGATTTTATTCAATAAAAACCCATAATTACTCAACCCGAACAAGATCGCAATCTTCTACTTCAGACGTTATCAACACACGCTCCGCACCTTGATCGACAAAAATTATTATGTGTAGTTGTCAATGGATGAGTGAGAGGTTGAAGATGATGAGTACCTTGTGTATCTATTTCACTTTTATTGTTAAAAACCAAATGATAGAACCTAACAAGATTATATATGTTATCTCAAGTCAAACCCAAACTATCAAGCTGAAAAGTAGATTTAACGAGCGAACGGTCGACCTATGCCAAAAGGGGGACTCGACCTGAGCATTCCCGAGAATGCCAGAAGACAAAGTGCATGATCCATGCGTCGACTGCTCCAGGGCTGCGCATTGATGCATATTTTCTAAATATTACTCCCAGGTTGAGTCGACCACATAGTCGATGTGAGCAAACCCGAGACTTCCCTAAGGCGCAACTTTCAATTCATGCGTCGACCGCTCCAGGGCTATGCATCGATGCATAGTTCCTAACAATTACTCCCAGGTTGAGTCGACCGTACATTTGACGTGAGCAAACCCGAGACTTCCCTAAGGAGCAACTTTCAATCATACGTCGACCAGAGATTTCTTTGAGTCGACTCAGAGCATAGAAATTTCCAAAAATACCAATTCTTGAAGACTTTTTATGCTTCCTTGTCCACCATATCAACTAGCAACATTTCCAACATATAGTGGAAAGTTTTGACATCGTTGAAACCCTTATTAAAGGAACCTTGCCCTCACACTATTTGTTTGCTTCAGTTTGTCAAGAAAACATGGACATAATGGATCTTTTGGCCCATTTCAACAAGTGTCCCATTCTATTTCTTTTGTTTCGGTCCATTAACAAGCAAAAAACAGCAAATAATAAAAAATGAATTCAGTTGAAAAAGGATTTAAGGTATATGTGAGTGATGGTTAAGCTTCCTTTCTTTCATCAAAGAAAACTCACATCTTCACGCGGCGGCCATCCTCTCGTCTCACCAACCGCTGTTGTGGTTCGTTTTTCGCCACCACACAACACCATTACAAACTCTCAGTCTCTCTCCTCATCAATATTCGTCTCAATATCCATTCAACACGATGAATACTCCTTCATCTTAATCCAACTTCGTCGTCCATGCCTCCGTCTCAATTCGGAGTTTTGTCTCAACCTACCTCCGATCTCACTTCATCTCTTCTCCTTACTCGATCTCTATCCATTTATAGGTTTTACCTTTTCTGATCAAACCTTAACATTACCATACCTAACATGCCAGCAAAAAAACCTAACTCTCATGAAAAACCAAAATTTAACACCCATAGTTGAGGCTTCGAGTTCGCTACCTTACGATTATGTTTCAGGAAGCCTCAATCAAGACAGGGATATGAAGAAGATGATTGAAGTTCCGAGGCTTACCTATCAAAGTCGCTCCGATGGTGCTTCAATAGCGACACGATAAGAAAACCAGAGATCATTGTGTCATCAGGTATGAATCTCCTTTTGCCTTCTTCTTCTTATTTTCTTCTTCTTCTTCTTCTTTTGTTCTTTTTTCTTATGCGCTCTGAATCTTGTTGTTGCTTTGTTCGTTACACAATGACATAGTTGAGATTGTAAGGTCGAGTATTAATTGCCAGAGGGAGATTTGAGCACACGTTGTAGTTTTGGTGAAGATTAGAGTTATTATGGTGAAGTAGAAAATGGTGCGATAGTGAGGAACAAGAGAGAGAGAGAGAGTGTGTCGAAGATATGGATTCAGAGGTTGCAATTGAATGAAGGTAAAGATGGAGAGTGTTGGAGTTTCTATATTGATGAGGGTGATTTGAAGATTGGTGAACAATGCGTTTGAATTTTTGAGATGTGTGAAAAAATGGCGGAGAAGCTGAGCAGTGATGAATGAAGGTGTTATATAGAGAAGTGAAGGTTGAGAATTGGTTACAGAGGAAAGAATAAGGTCCCTTGGATCGGAGATTTTCGGTTAGAAGATAAAGGGTGGATTTGAGGTTCTCTTTTGACAGTTAGATGAGTTACAGGTGTGAGTTGTTGTTTTTGGTTTTTTTCTGATAGGGGATAAGGAAGTTAGTTGGGGAGAGTTTAGAATTTGTTATGGAATTGGTTGGGCGGTTAGGTTTGGTTAGAGAGTTAAACAAATACGAGAGGGGAGGCTTTTATATATGGTAGGAATATGAAATCAGTTAGAGGATGAATGAATCTTAGCCTTAGGATCTGGATTTTCTGTTATAAAACTGAATGGTGCAGTAGAGAGGTTAGAGAATTAGCTATTCTGTTTGGAAGTTAGTTTCAGTTAGAATTTTGTTACTCTATTTTTTGATTTAGTTATTTTCAGTTAGAAACTTAACTCTGTGACTTAACTCTGTTAGTAGCAGCTAGTCATGTTAGAAAGTTAGTGTTATCTAATTCTAAAAGTTGGGGTTTAGTTTAGGCAATAGGTTGGAAATCAATCAGGGTTTAGGCATCTAACTTGTTAGAATCGAATTTGTAATTGAACTTCTCCAAGTACTTGAACTACTTTCCCTGCCCGAATTGTATTGAACATCACAACCGATGTGCACCTGAGTCATATTGTTTTTTTATTTATATTTTCGAATTTTGGATTTTATGATGAAGTATGTTGCATTTCGTGACTCTTGTTTTGGATCCTTTTGTGACGTTAATGTATTGATGTATAGATTTTTGAACTGTTTTATGTTTCTGATTTGTCTTGCTTCTGAACTGACGCATGTGTGATCATGTGTATATTCTAATAGGTGTCAGCCCTTAACATAGCCTTTGTAGCAGCATCTTCAGTGGAGCCGTGAACAACATTTGTATTCACTGTATTGATGATGTCCGGCTCTGGTATGCAAATTGGTTATGAGTTTAAACGGGAATCTATGTTGCTTTTGAATTGTGCTCTGCTAGCTTTTTCTTTCTTTTGAATGCATAATAACATGAAGTGAAATGAACATGAACATGGCATGTTTTGGAGGCTGGTGCAGTGATGATGTTTTTAGAGATGATTATTTGAATGTTGTGTCATAGCTCTGTTATGAAGATGTGTTTTTGTTCATCTGTTTTTATCTGAACCGACTTTGTGTGTTGTAGGTCATGGAGATGGCATAGTTATGAAGTTGGATGAAGATGTAAAGTTAAAGAAAGAATTCATAGTGGTGAAATAATTGTGAGGCTTGGAACTTGAAGGATGATTAAAGATGGACGTTGGTTATGGAGTATTTGAAGGCTTATGCGTGAAGATTAAAACGAGGGCATTTAGGATATGAGTTGTTTTTGTAACTTTGGTGTAATATAGCTTGAAATGTATCGTATTTGAAATTGCAATGGACAAGGTTTTGAGTTGAAATGGATTGAAGTGTAATAGTTTCTTTTTACTTCGTAATGAATGGATTTGTTTCTTCCAAAGTGAATTTTCTATTTCCCCTCTAAAACATTTATATTGACTTTCCAATCAAAAACCCCTCTTTAGCAAAAATTGAATCTATTATCAGTCGTGAAAAACACTCCCTCCATTGCACTTATTTTGAATCCTATGCTTTTTCACCTTTGCACCTTTAGATTATCATCACTAATGCGATAAATAAATCATATTGACTTAAGAAGGACTTTTGGTCGAAAATTCTACCCTACATGATTGACTTTGACCAAAAGTTGAAGTCTTGACAGTTGATCTCCCATCTTGAAGTGATTCAAAAACCTCAAATAAAAATTCACCCTTTTGAATTAAATATAGAGGTAATGACTTGTAACAAGTAATGATCCAGAATTAACCCTTCTCTGATAATCACGAGTAAGGGAAATAAACCCGAACTCAAATAGTGATTGTGAGCATAAAGGTATGATAAGGACTTCCAAATATAACGCAGAGTCTTCTGAATGAAGCCCAATTGAATGACTTTTACCGTAAGCAACAAAGAAAATAGATTTTTCACGTCATGAATAAACCCAAGTACTTAAGCCGAAGTCCCTGATGAAATCTTTGCATCATAAGTACTAATGAAGCTACACACAACATATGATGGCCCAGGAAATAAGATACCATGAGAAGAAACCCATGAGGAATGTATGACCAAAGCCTTAAGGTCCATCTGATGACCATAAACACATAGATGTAAACCCTGATTGATGAATAAGCAAATTCAACCTTAAATGAAGGTGAGAATCTCTAGGCAATGACGAAACCCTAATTTCTCAAGATCCTTGATCCCATGCTGAATTTATTGACGATGCATGATTTATTGTATGACCTAATAAAAAAAATCACATGAAAACATGCAAGATGAATAAGTTAGATTATTGACAAAGTGTAAGACAAATTTGGGGTATGACAATACCTCATACAAAATCATCGGCCAAAATGTTTGAAAATAGTTTTGTGAAAAAGGTTTGAAAAAAATTATAAGTGTTTGTGAAATTGAAAGTTGTGAGAGAATATTGATCGTAGTGAAATCGTAGAATTCGTGGATGAATTTTTGTGAAGGAAAAGAGACCTATTAATAATGTGAGAAATTATGTCAAATTACCAAATAAGGAAATTATCCAAACAGTAAATGCAAGATATGGTTTGGAAAAAGATTTGACCTAAAAAGATTTTATTTATTTTTAAGGCTTTTGACTATTTTTTAAATAAAATAATGATTTTAATAAAAAATAATATTTTTAAAATATAATAAATAAAAGAAAACGACAATAGCAATTAAATAATTAAAAAATGTGATTTTTGTGATTTTAAAAATAATAAAAAAAATGGAAATAAAGTTAGTAACAAATAAACATAAAAGATATCCAAAGTGTACTAAATGAGATTCAAACATGTGACCTTATGGTTGCAAGCTTGCTCCCTTACCAGTTCTGATATGTTACTTATTTGAAATAAAGAATCAATTGAAAGTATATGAAGGGTAAGCAAGTTTTTGCTATTTAAGAAATATAAATAATTTAAAATAAACTATTATATATTTTTAAACAGAAAAAATAAATTGAAAATAAATATTTATAAAACCCAATATGTTAGTGTATATAAACCAAAAGAATTTTATAAAACCCAAGTTTGAAAATAGTTTTAACCGTTTGAAATGGGGCGGTCAAATTTAGGGTATGATAGGCGTCTCATGCACCTCTCCATCAACCTCAACATATCGAACAAAGTCAAATGGCTCATCACATACTCTTCTTCGCCACAAATAATTATCGTCTTGCCATTCATAGGGTACTTAATCTTCTGATGAAGAGTGGAAGTCACTTCCCCTGCCTCATGTATCCAAGAGCGTCCCAATAAACAAAAATATGCTGGTTGTATGTCCATCACAAAAAATGCAGCAGTGAAAGTATGGGGTCCAATTTTAATAGTTAAATCCACCTCACCAAAAAATGATCGTCGAGATCCATCAAAAGCCTTAACTACCAAGTCATTTGGGCGCAACTCAACACTTGAATAGTCCATCTTCATCAATGCAGACTTTGGAAGTACATTCACATACGATTATGTATCTACCAGCACATGATACAGAGTAGTTCCTTTACACTTCATTGAAATATGTAACTCCTTGTTATTATTTCTTCCTTCAGGAGGGAGATCAAAATATGTAAAACCCAAGCCGTTACTGGTAGTAATACTAACACAAACACCTTCAAACTGATTTACGAAGATCTCTTGAGGAACAAAATTTGTACTCAACAACTTCATCAAAGCATTGCAGTGGGCCTTAGAATCTTGAAGAAAGGATAAAATGGAGATCTTAGTTGGAGTCTGTAGCGATAAAAAATGTAGCGGGGTAAATCGGAGATCGAATTATTGATTAATTCGTCTCACAAAAGCAAGAGTCGCCACCGCACTTTATTATTTCCAAGGGAAAAGGGAAAAGAGCGAAATAAAACCCTAAATATGCAATGTAAAAGAATACTTTTTAAAAGTAATAAAAATACAAGGCGTTTTTGAAAAGAGATCTATGGTTCGGGGGTTGGTTATACAGTGGGAAGGTATTAGCACCCAATGTATCTATAGTACTCTATAGGAACCTTTTGAAATATCTATTTATTAAAAATTGTTCGTTTGATTTAAAAATGAAATGTTTTGGCCGAAAAGGGGTACGGACGGGTTTTTGAAGATACGACGACCTAATGTCGAAGTTTTTGCTTAAAAGGTATCAGTTTTGAAAAGCTTGAATATTTGGGGAAAAATTGTCTTAAGTTTTAATGAGATGAAAAATATTCGCGTGATCGGACTTGAGGACATGAAGTCAACAAATTTAATCATTTTCCCCTTGGATTTAGACGTAAACAGAATAATCATGTAAATATGAAATAATTAAATAGAAAATTATGCGGATAATGATTAAATAGCGACAATTAAACAATAGACTAAATGGTGTGAACATGCATTTTGTATTTTTATCTAATATTAATAACGCAAGAGAATTAATTAAATAAAATGTTTTTTTTTAGTTC